ACTATATGGAACCTGTTTAGGCACTTCCTGTTAACAATGCGGCCCTGTAAATTCGCTTACAAAACAAGATCTGATCAACGCACACTTTAAACCTTGTTACAGGTCCCATTTGCTTATTATTAGCTCACGTAAAACAATCAAAATCCCTGAGCTTGACAGTTAAGTGGCATTTTAATTTGGCAGCAGGTGCAAAGTCGGTTCGTTGCTATGCGAATTTGGTAAAGTGGGAAAGGGCATTGTTCAACTTGTTGACCGTGGTATGGTGTGAACATTCAATGCAGTTTTCTGTTTGTTCACCAATCTAGAGTAACTTTCAAGGATTAGACTTTCTACAGCGTGTTACAGTTAGTGGTTGTTTGTGGAAGAGTTTAGTTGAGGTTGAAGACATTAAAAACACTTCAGGAATTGCCAAATGCGACTCGTGGCAGTCTTTTTGTTATGGGTAATTATGAATTGTCTTTGTTCAATTCACACTTGTTGTAAATAATATTGGCACAATTACAGACAAACGTTGACGAGGAATTGATAAGCAACTCATGAAGTTTTGATGGATGTCTAATAAACTACTATAAAATTCCAAAACAGACTTTGTCGTTTTAACTTTACCTTCATTCAAGGTGTATAAGCTACTTTGTCTCTGTCCTATGTTTTGTTATATTAAATATAGATTGGCATAACTTTTTGTTTTTACAACTAAGAGATTAACCGTAATAAAAGAATTCTGGCAGATTCATAAACAAAGACAGTTTTCATTCCGATGACCTTTTGACTGTTCTTTGATAAACTATTGTCCAAGCTTAAATCCTTTATGAAAAGAATTTGTTACCTAAATTGCGCCCAATACAACTGATTACTGGCTCTCAGGAGATTATTCGCCGACCAATATATCGAATAAAACGAGTTAACATCAATCGTGTTGTGGCATGTAAGAAGGTATAAATCGTGCTTAATAGCGCTTAAGGTTTTCAATGTGTTGTAATGATCCTTTTCTATCAAAACTGCCTCGCAAGCGCATAGATTTGGTTCACCTAGGCAACATGAGAAAAAAGCAACGTGGTCACAGAACTCGACAAATAGTAGACAGAGAGACAGGTTTTTTCCTGTGTTGCTTTTATGAAAAGTGGCAAATATTTTCTTCAGTACTTCCGGTGACTCAAACCAACAAAGCATGTTTAGCTAAACTAAAACAATACGAGTTTGTGATGTCCATGAATTTTACAGAGCACCCTTAGCTCGTCCTCGTCGGCAGATGTCCCACACGCGTGTCGTACGGGTGTTCCATTGACTTCGCGTACTGCAATACCTGCTTCTACAGGTTGTGCCAAAGTTGCAGTCTTTTAGGCGGTGCTGAGATCACATGCAAGTCTAATCACTCTTCTTAACAATGAGTTGAAATTAAAAAAACAAAACAAAACAAAACAAAACAAAACAAAAAACGTAGAAGAAATGCTAACAGTTATAGAGGAAGGTCAAAAGTGACAATTTCAAGACAAGTTGGATCTTCTGGTAGTTTCGACTGGAAATGTATCGTTTTTCATTATGTAACTACCTGTTCACCAAGGGATGACATAATTCGTGTTTATGTTTAGCTTGTGCAGAAGCAAAACGAACGTTCAAACAAACCTGTAGAAAACAAAGTAGCCTGATATTGTGCCAATTACTGTACTCTATAAACAAAGTTATGAACCTCGCCCAATCTTTTTCGATTACTATATGTAGCAAATTCCGTTTTCCCACTAACCTACTGCATGCAAGAGTAACATGTCTGAAGAAACATTTACTGTGCGTGCCTTTGAACAAAGAAAGTGTGGATGCAGTGGGTGCAGTAATCCAGTTAAACACACGTGGTACTGTAGACTGGTCTGTCAGCTTAACGCTTAGTTTGGCAGGTATTCTTTTGAGTCACGATTTTTCTCTCTCTCCCAGACTGAGTCGCAAAGTTATAAAATAAAATAAAATAAAATAAAATAAAATAAAATAAAATAAAATAAAATAAAATAAAATAAAATAAAGTGAAAGCTGTCTGTTCGTCTATTGTCTAGTGTTGTGCAACGTTGCTGAGTCTGGCTTTTGTCTGTGGATGAAACCCTAGAGGGTCACCGTTCAAATGAAAGCTATTGTGCAGTACTTTCGTTTGGTACTGTTTATGCTATGCAAGGTGCTGTTAACTCACGCTTGTGGATAAGAGCCAAGCGTGTAACCATTCAGGTGAAAACTACTTAGCAGTGCTTTCACGTGGTATAAATGTTTAGTATACTGTACAATTCAAGGTGGCTTCAACGTCTTTTAAAAAGTCCGTGAATAGTAAAGATTATGTGTAACCATTAAGAGTTGAAAGCTATTGAGCAGTTTCTTGTTTCATGTGGTACTGTTTTTGATATGCCATAAAACACTGATAGTTTCATTTTCAGGGTTGATGCGACACTTATGTCTGACCATTCAAATGAAAGCTATTCAACAGTGCTTTCATGTGGTGCTGCTATTTGATATTGTGCTGTACAAGGTGGTTCTAACTATTTAGTCTATGGATAAAACCCGGTAATGTGACCATTCAAATTAAAGCTATTGAACAGTACTTTCATGTGGTAGTATTCGTCGTTCCGAGTATTTTACAAAGTGGAATTTATTATAGAAGTGAAAGGATTAATAAATCGTCTCCTCAACACAACCTGCTGGAGCAGGTATCGCACGGAAAGTTGAATTTATTGAACACCCGGGGTGACGAGTGTTTGGGACATCTGCCAAGGCACGTTCATAAAGTGATATTGGTTGAAAGTTGATGCAAGATGAGCAATCATAGGAACTTAAGAAAGAGATCAGGAATTGGTGGATTTGAAATTAATCCACAGAAAACTAATGAAGATCCAGAAATGAACAGATCGTACACCAGCTGGTAGACGTCTATTTGAAAAACAGAGCGAAACTTGCGTTTGATGTGTTGAAATGTTTCTGTGTATAGAGATAAAGTAAGGCATGCGTTGTACAACTAACGCTCCCTTTCTTTCAGTATTCCGGGGTCATATGCCATCTTCTCCTCCCCTGGAAATAAACCCACAAAAGAGCCACAAAAGGTTTCAGTTATAACAAATTCAAATAAACCTTTGGGCTTATATCTTGACTGATTATCACGTTGCCTTCGAAGCAGTTTCTACACGGAAAAAATGACCCTTTTTTCACAAATTGCCCGCTAAATTGGAGGCTCTTGACTTCCGAACGAAGTTACTGTAATCGTGATGTTTCGTCTTGGTCTTTTTCGTGGATCAACAGAATCAACATCCTTTTAAGACTTAATGACAGTCGTTAAGTAGAAAAACTAAGGGTATGTTTCTTTGGGAAAATCCAAGATTTACTTAAAAGATTAATCCAAGATCACTCGGATCGTGGACATCAAAAGAAGCGACAAATCCAATCCGGGTTAGGATTCTTTGGTTCCTTTGAAGGACCCGGCCCAAGTCATGGTCTTGGACTGATAAATCTTTTCAGAGGAGAAACGGAAAACCGTTTTTGGAGTAAAGAATCCAACCTCGGATTTTCCCAAAGAAACGCGTCCGCAGTCTTTGGAGTGCTTTTGTCCTGTAGCAACCTTCTATTGGCAGCGAGGAATTTTCGCTATTTGGACGCAGGTTTCAAACGTGACCGGTGGCCGTAACCCAGATTCTCAGAAACAACAACATAGGAAACATGAGACATTTAGTAAAGAGAATTAACGTTTTAATCTTCGAAAGTGAAAGCTGAATGTTGTAACTATCGCCGTTATAGGAAAACTGAGGCACGTAGCTGTATCTGATACGAGCTGGGACAATAGCCTTAGTAAACGATGAATATACAAGCGAAAAAACCGTGACCAAGCAGACCTATCCGCCCAGAACGCGTTCCGCTCTTGACACAAGCATGGACATGAAGGCCGGCGCTTTGAGCGCATTGAAACGTCGGGATATAACATGAACTCGAGCGGTTAGTGAATCAAGCCGGTTGTGGTTATGTGGAAACGTCTGAATAAAAAGAGTTAAAAATGCAATGCTAACCAGTTCTAAAATTTTATGATAACCGCTTCTCCTGTTGTACCTTTTGTTTTCTTGGTTCAACGGTCTTTCTCAATGGAACCTGAACCGAAAGTAAGCTATTTTTATAGATAGTTTATAGCTAGACGAATCTAGACCAAAAGCAACGATCTTACAGGATTGACAAAGAAAGCGCGGCGTTGAAAATCAGTAGAGATCCTAAATCCATAATTTCGACTCCTCCCTGTAAGCGGAATAATCAGTGGGAAAACAGAACAATCGATTAATTTAAATATAAATCGAGGATACAAAAGAATTTCAAAGCTTTTTGGAGCCGAACTGAGAGTAGTGCAAAACGAAAAAAAAAAAGAAAAACTAAAACAAGAAACTAAACAAAACTGGTGCAAAACTGAAATTTTGACCTAGATAATGTAAATGTTATATTGCAACGATATTTGGTAATAACAGTTAAGGCTAAACTGAAAACTCATTTTAAGAGTTTAGTTGAAATTGAAGCTTTTGCAAAAAGGCATTGTTAATGTTTATTAGTTTAGTACTTGAAAATACATTCCTTTCAAAAAACTAACGATATAAAAGCACAAAACAGTCTTATTCTTAATTAAAAGCTGCGAAACTAATACGATCGCGTGTATGGACTTATCTTCAGTTCAAACTAATACATCACCAAGGAACTTGAAGAACAAAAGTAAGAATAAAGGTATTCATTTAGTCAAAAAGGATTCATGGTGACCGCGTGTTTCCGTTTAAAATTTGCTAGCACATGTAGTGGTGAGAATCGAGGCGGAACCAAGTTTCAAAATCATTGGAACTTTCCCTTACAAATTCTTCCTAGTTACTGATTTATGGCGCGCCATTGTGAGCTCGAAACCGTAGCCCCGAGTCTTTGGCGGAGGGTTCGCGTGAAGTTTCATAACTTTTTGAGGGATTACAGCTTTTGCCACCAAAACAAAAACAAAGGCAAGAAAAATAAGTCCTTAGTGCTCATGTGAATGGTTTTCTTTATTATTAACACTTTTCCATGCTCGACGTTCCGACTTTCGGTTTTGTCCAGGATTAATAGCGCATGAATCCAGCTGTAAAAATATGCGTATCTATTCCATAAACTTTGACTTTTTTTCTATTTACATTTGTACACGTTCTTTCGAAACTCTCTGATAACGTTATTTACATAATTATTTGATTCACACCAGTACAAAAATAGATAATTAACATAGCAACCCAATGCGAGAAACACTTTGTATTTTATAGCGATTTCGACATTGTCCTCAAGGTTGTTTTTCTTTCATTTACCAAGGTCTCCAAAGCAATGCACCTTGTGCTGGTGATCCAAGTTTGGGTTCTTGCAATGAAATCAATCTCGTGTCTCTTGTCATGCTGGTTAAAACAGGAGATTCAGGTCTAATATCTCGTGTCAGACTTGTAGAGCCAGTTAATACCGGTGAGACGTGAAGAGGTGAAGGTGGCGGCGATGGGAACGGTATCATTACAGGTTGTAAGGGTGCCAAGTACCGAAGGGTCTCCGTACTATACACAGGCATGGCGGCTGCCGGCGTGTTTGTGTTGTTTCCTTGGCAACGGGACGACGTCATTTTTCTTGTGAATTCTGCGGCACACTGTACATAACTTGCTCTGTACTCTGTGGGATCCATAACTGTAAAGAAAGAGATATTCTATGAGTCATCAGTCAAATAACTTCAGATATTTTTTTTACGCCTCATTATTTCTCAAAACGTTTTAACGTACATTGGAGATTTGAAGTCAAAATCATTTCGGAGTTGTATTTCAAAGCATGGCTCTCTAGTTGTTTGACAAATTTAAACATTTGACTGATAGCAATCATCGCCGTTTATTATTCCGGAAACACTGTGGATAATGTGGGCGAACACTGCGTAATTCATAAACTCCTGCAAGACTGAAATCAAAAACATAAATAAACTATACCTTTCTGTTTTTGTTCCCTTCTTTTGAGCTCGCGTAAATAATGAACAGTCATTTCCAACACATCAGCTTTTTCCATTTTCGAGTATCGTGACGCCTAGAAGGATAATGGCGAAATAATTGTAAGAAAATATTCTTAAATAGCCTTTAAAAATCATCAGCCGAGCTTTACTTTTCAAAAGGTAATAGTCTGTGTTTGCTAATCAACGTTACTCACGTCCTTATTTAAGGCCTCGAGAATAAGTGATTTCAGTTCGTTTAGACTATCATTAATCCTTGCTCTTCTCATCTTTTCCATGAGGGGTTTTTTCGCCTTTTAAAAAAAAAAACACAATAAAAGCATCGTTAAATATCATTTACAAGTAATACAAGACAGAAAAATGTTTATAAATATTGCGATTTTTGAATTACTGAAGTGTATCGAGGACTACCTTTCGTTTCTCCGTTAAAATTTTGCTGACATAGTCTGGAGGTTGATTGCAGAAGTTAGCAGTCGTCATTTTGCGTTGGGGTTGAAAGTGATCTTAAGCGAGTTGTGTACCGAACGAGCGCTCGCTGCGTGTGTCGGTCGTGTGCCAAACCTCCACGTTTTATGGCAGCTTTCGTGGGAAAATTCTTTTGGCCTTGTGTCATTAATCGCAAATATTTACCCTCACATTTACAAGAACAATCACCGTAACAGCTGAGAACAATGCAGCTGACCTTGTCAATGGCAGGTCGTGGGAACAGTCGAACGTGATTGGTCCGTTGCGTTGGTCGCACGACAAACTGCATGAACAAAGCTTCAACGTCGCCAGCGGCGCGTGACGAGCGTGAGACCACTGCACGCTGATTGGCTGAAAGAGCTAGCAGCGCCTGTGCTAAATTACTTACAAAAAGACAGTATACACAAACTGAAAACAAAAGATCTACAATTGAAGTACCTCGATGAAAGGCGCAAAGAGCCCAAACAGAGCACAGTAATTTTGCGGCGGAAAAGTGTCTAGGCAGCTTTTGGCATGAGGTTATCGTGTTGACGCGATGAAACCGTGATAAGTTTTTAATGGTTTTCCTGCGGAGCGATTAGTGTCTCATTTGCACATTAAATGGGAGGCTCCACTGAAGCGTCAAATGACATGCACGTGTGATGGTTTAACAGCGTCCCAATCCATTGTCACTCTTTGCGTTTGTACTGGTTCAAGAATTACTCTGCGGTTTACAAGGTGGATTTTCATGACAATAGAGTTCAAATCTTTCCCACGGTCCGAGAATAAAGAACATTTTTTCACTGTCTCGGCCTTATTCTTCGCTGTGCGGGAGTTTTGTTATGCAAAAAATACCACAGTGAGATGACAAAGAAACCGGGTTAAACTGTGCAAACTCTAAGTGTGTTGTAAAGGGTTCAGTTGAGACAAGTACAATAAGAAGACTATTTCAAGGCATGGCCTTAGGGTAGGGTTTCGGTTGTGGCCGTTACGCGCTCTAGGGTCAGTCAAGGTTTTGAACAAACGTTTTTCATTTGTAACTGACAACAAAATACGCTGCACGTGCCACCCCACGTAGACAGGAAGGAAGAAACGGAACTTGTCATCAAAATATATCAAATTCGAGAATTAAAATTCCAAAGACTTGGGCGGCTAGCTAAATAATCAGGTCAGTCCAGGGCTTAGCTTGATGTCCTTTGGCCCAATCTTTAGAAAATACCTAAGCTAATTAGTGGTATCGGTAAAAGACTTGCTACTACCGTGAATCGATGATAAGCAATTCCGAACCGACTTGTTATCGCATCGCCTTTGCCACCCTGCAAGAAGTCTACAAATATCGTGTCTGACTTGTATCAAAGTCTAATATCACCTTTTGTCACATGGTCTAAGTGTTTGGCCGTCTATATCTTTACCTATCAACGTAATGATAGCATGACAGATTTGCTATTGTGTTTAATAGCTTGACCCAGTTTAGTTCCGGTAACTCATTTTTGAAACATGTTATTCATCAAAAGACAGTCTACCTTCAACCCTATTGACAAGTTAGAATCCTAAAATGTTTCTCTACGTTAATACAGATACATGGTCGAGCGGGAAACAAACAACGATTCAGTCCTAATATCGTCAAAAGCGAATTGCCTTGATTTCAAAAAATCGGTTTCGATCTGCATATTAGTAAGAAAATGAAATTAATAATGATAGTTATAAAAAAACAACAACAACAACAACTTAGTGGAGGCTTGTCCTTAAACTTGCCTCAGTAGACTACTATTTCTATTTCCCTTGCCTGTGTTTAGGATTCAAACAGCTACGTTGGGCTGTACTGTTAAACATTTCTACCGGTCACGTTTTATTTTACGTTTCGAAACATTTTTACCGGCGACAAATGGACAGGGTATTGGATAAGCCTCATATACAAAGTTTGGCAGCTAGTCCTTTGAACGGTTCTGCTAGATCGAGTTTTTTTTTTTTTTTTTTTTTTCGAATACCATGGGGTTTCCTCGCATTCTGGAGTTTCATCAACACTGCCAATAGTTTGTTCCCACAGTTCTTACTTCAGTGGATATATTAAGTCTGTTACATCCGGAAGTCTTATACGGGAGTTATAGACTCAGAAATATAAGCCGACTTGAGAATAACCTAAACCACGTCCACAGTTCCGTTCTTCCCAGGCGGCTATTTTTGCTTTATTATAAAATGGATAAAAAGCGAAGAGGATTAAGGAAACAGTGGCTGCTACTGTGATGGAATAAATACAAAATACCCAGTGCCAGGGTACAGTTAAAAACATACCCTACCATTAGACCGAAATGGTCATAATCTATGCCCTTGTTTAGACCAAAATCTGGCACCTAAACAGTTGAGAAACCATACCCTTCACAGGGGCACACATACCTATATAGTTCATATGAGGGAGTACCCCCCCCCCCAGGGATGCGGCATTCTGTTTTGCTATTTATTTTGGTTTCATGCTCGTCTAGTTGATGTCACGCAACATGATTTTCTTTTGCAGTCAGACACAGTTNCCCCCCCCACCCGGCAAGAGCAACAGTTCTGTAATTTGATATCATCATCACATGCAGTACCACTTGGAAGAATCCATGTTGATAAAATCTAGCCAGTTTCCTTGTGTGAGAATTCCTTGGATTTTCATTATCTCGCTGTTTGGCTAGCACAAAGACTGTATTACAAGGAAAAATTGGTTGCTTGTAACATTGCTATTGCAGCTTCGTTACTCAATAAACATGTGTAATGTGTCGCGGCTGTCTGTGGTATCGTGGAACGTGCAGCGCATATAGTGCGTACGCGAGAGTCATGTAATGTTGCACGAGGCCAACTTAGGAAATGTCAAAAATGCGCAATTGTGAAACTGAACTAGTTATCCACATACCATTGTTGTGTGTATTATGACATGAAAAATCAAAGAAGACGGTTTGTATTGATTGCTTAAAGTTCCATCGATACAAGGAATTTGCAGTCCTAAAGATGCGCCCCTCGCGCAAAAAAAGATAAATGTTCAAAGGATCTTTTCAATACCTTTCTGCAGGGATAAAAATTAACTTTAATTTGATGTTGATTTCAACCCAACGAAGGAGCCAAGCATTTTTGAAACGATACTGACAAATCGAAACAATTTACGAAGGCCACAGACCCGGACCTCGAACTTGTTGGTGCATATTTCGCTTTACTTTCGTGCCAGGGGAATAATCTGCATGAAAACAATCAAGTATTTGAGCAAGCCGCTCAATAAACACGGATTTGCTTAGGGCAGACAGGATTATTGTTTAGAAGATACTGTTTGACTTAGACAGAAAGGCCAATACCGCAGTTTTAAAACCTGATACCCGTGTGACAATCAAGCGAAAGAACTGGCTGATGAGTAATTAGTAACCGTAGGCGTGGTGGGAGTAAACACCGTAATCGTGGCCGAGCAAAGGGTTAAGGAACACACACAAAGCCTTGATAAACTCCGACCCCTAACTACGAATCACAGGGCTCTCATTTCACAAGCACTTTCAGGAAGAATCTTTTTCAAAACAGCTTTTTGTGTTGTTAAAACAAGTTGCATAATCATACCCTTCTATCTGTGCAACTCTTTGTCATGTTTGAAGTCTTTGAATTCGGCTTTTTTCAAGAGTTATCACAAACTACAATCACGGCTTGTTTCTATTGTAAGGGAAAAGTCTCTGAAGAGCCGCCAAGAGCTTCCTTTTGCATGTCAAGAGCTCAAATGGTTTTAGGAGACCAGCTCCGATTTCTTGCCCTTAACTGTGGCCATTCTAACTTGCTCAGGGGCCAAAAGCGGCTCCGTAATTTTGTCATGATTCATGTAGAAATGGTAGCTTACAATTTAAAATGTCACGAAACCAGCCAGGAGTAATTGTTAATGCGCGATTTTTGAATGACCGTTTTAATGAAAAAGCGACGCAAAAAGAGAAGCGACCGGATCAGACAAAAGTGGCACAATGATGTGAATAGACGATCCGAAGACTGAAATTGCTAATTGTGAAACTGGACGACTCAATTGTCATCTTAACTGTTATAAATAGCAGTTTTAGCTTGTTAATAGGGCCAATACTACAAATCATTGTCTGCGTTATGAATATTTCCGTGAGCTCTTGATTCTACTTCACAAAGTATAGCTCCTTGCTTGAGCGATCAAAAAGCGTGCAAAGAATTGTCGATTGAAAACCATCTTAACTTAAGTCAACCTGAGGTTTTATCAGGGGAGCAAATCGAGACTTTTATCATCAAACCCGCCGAGTTTGAAAAGTCTTTCTATACTTGAAAGACGGTTTGAAGACGCCAAAAAAAGAGTGAAACTCGTTTATCTTTTCCCCTGAAAACTTTGCCGTCTTGAAAAACTAGTTGGTGTGTTTCCCCAAAGCGTATCCGCAGATCATTTTAAAAAGTAGCAAAACCGCTGCACGAGTAATTTCAAGCTGGATTATAACGCCGTTAGTTCGGGAAGTTTCATAGCAATGGCTATAGCTTTTGTCTTTGCTATTTTTAAGTGTCAACATGCCCTGTAAGAGTCCTGTAAGAGTGTGCATTGCTGGCTTTGAGAACTAATACCTCTAGTTGACGATAGTGCTGTTTCATAATCTCACTGTCCAAGAAATTTACTTCACTGTAAAGCATTTTTCGTTCGTTATCGTGGTCTCGTGGGGTTCAAGTACCGCTTTCAAAAGACTTCAAATAAAATAAGCGTCCATGAGTGATTAACTCCAGGCGTTCCGTTTATTAAAGCATTCCTTCAGTTGAACAATGGCAGAACTCGGCACAACAAGAACCTTGGTGAATCGAGGCACAAAGGTTCAAGTTTGAAAATGAATTTCTCATTCGCGTAAACGAATTTGCACAATGGAGTTTAAATACTATTTATTTAATGTGGGGTTGTAAATATTCTCACGAAATCCTTGATTAAGAAGCTGTTTAATGATAAATTCCTTTATACAAAAAAAAAAAAAAAAAAAAGAAAAGAAATGTATATGTAGGCAACAACATAATCTTGGCTATTATAACCCAATTTAAAAATTCATTTTATTCCATAACGACACAAGATTCCTTTTTACAAAAATATATACCTCTTAATAGTTAACAATTTTTGAAAAATAAATATTCACTCCTTCTTATATAACCGAATCCAAGCGAGCCCCATTTTGACAGCACTCAAGGTAAAAAAAAATTAAGTTTAAAAAGCAATTAAAAATATGTCACAATATTGAAAAGGAAAATTAAGTGTAACGCTGTTCGGGCATTGCGTTACCATGGTCTCCACAGAGAAGTATCGAAAGCAGACGAAGAATTTGGTAGTGTTAAAGGTAGGAGTTGAACAGCTGTATCGTTCGGTAAAATTAACGCTGGAATGCCGTTACTAAGAACAAAAGGTGACATTGAAGGAGACATGGCGGGTGAAAACGGCAGAAGTTTCCTTTCTTGGTGATTGTGTAGCGGCGATGAAGGCGGTGAAGGAAACTTAGTGGCCATACTCCCGTCGGCGAAAGCAGGATTCGCGCCAACCGCAGGCGAAATGGCGGGAAAAGTCGACGGTAGCGACAGAGGTACGTGGGTTTGTTGACGCGAGCCTGATAAATCGTGGGGGAGTTGATGAGGTTCTTTCTGCTTTTGACACGTCGACGCTAAATGTGATAGAAGCTGAGTGCGAACCGGGACAGTGATATTGTCGGCCGTCATCAAGAACTGAGAGACTTTGGCAGCACATTCGTTGAAACCGGCGCGATATTTAGCGATGGCAGCAGCATCGTCTGTGAATTGAAAAGAAAATGAGTCAGTGATAAGTATCATATTTCACATCTTTGACACTTGTCATTATATCTGGCATCTCCGGTTGGAGAGGAGGAGGCGGAAATATGTTGACAACCTCTGGAATTCAGGGGTTTAAATTTCTCGCTAAAACTAACACAGACGTCAGCATTTAAGCGGATATTTTGAGTAATCACAAGTGAACTGTAATGTGAGGCCAAAACATAAACTTGCCATGGCAAGTCGACTTTTCCCGAGGTTGTGGGTAAAATTTTCCACAAAAGAATCAGAAAGGTGTAATTGAAAGATTGTTATCAAAACGAAACAATGATCAACACCATAGTCTCCCAACCTTTTGGCGTTGAAAAGCCATTAGCGTGATTAATACTTCATTACTTCTTATCCTGAAAGGAGAGTTTTGTGTTTGTTTTAAATAACGTTTTCTGAGGCCTAAAAGGCCATTAAAAAGCCTACCATATAAAGCAAGGAAAAGCAATCAAATTTTGCCTGCCTGTGCAAAAATGTTCCAAAACCCAAAACAGGCCTTTCTATATAGCCAACAGCGTGAAGAACAGTTTGAAAAAAATATCATTTCGTCACGTACCTTGTTGCTGTTTGAAATGCAAAGGCCTCTCGGAATTCAGCGAACGGAGATATTTGACGGTCATTTCGAGAATATCGGCTTTTTCCATTTTTGAATACCTAGAGACCTGTAAAAGAAAGAAAGGGAAAATGATTGAATTAACCCCAAACCCAACGAACAAGACAACTATTCAGCTTACTAAATTACATCACTTCAGTATAAACGTTGCAAAAACTTACATCTTTTTTCATCGCTTCCAACACTAAGCTTTTCAATTCGTTCAAGCTGTCGTTTATTCTTGCTCGTCGCATTTTTTCCATCAGTGGTTTCTTAGACTGCAGAACAAACAAAAGTTTCGCATTAGTAATGCTTTCATCAATTTACTAGAAAAACCATCGCAAGTTTTGTCTCACAACTTTTCTTCTTTTTTCTCTTAGAAAAAACGATTTGTCGTGAACAGCTGCCGGATAAGTTGCTTTCATGAAATCCATCTTTACAACGATGTTTTAAAATATTTAAAAGCATTCTTATATTATTAAATCTCCATTTCAGCGTCAAATTAGGTGGCGTAAAAAGTGTACGATTACTGCGCCAAAATACCTTCTTTGTTTCCTTTTTCGCATTTCGCTGAGCGGCGATGACGGGTTTTAAAACTTGTACATCCATTTTCGTTGCTAAGAGGACGCGTGCAGTGCGATCACTTGTGGCAGTATAAAATACTTCGGCACGCTTCGAGGCGACCTTGGGGCGCAGGACACAAGCAACCGGCGCGCGCTTTTAATATTCTTTTTATAGTTCGCACCGTGGGAAAAATTCGTGGTCGTGTGTCAACCCTCGCACTTATTTACAAACATCTATTCATATTCAATAGCTGGAACAGTCAACAAAGCAACTCTGATGCCGGACCGTGGGAATGCTCTGCGCTGATTGGTCAGCGACGCGAGAGGTCGCGAGGTTAAGTTGCTTGACAGACTCTTGAGCTCTACTGGTGCATAGAGGGCGTGAGAACGGAACCGAACGATTGGCCTGAACATTTGAATGGGTTCCTGCAATTAACAAGTCGCGCGACTTTACTTTATGCAACTTCAGCTAAGCGCGTGACGACAGAACTATTCCATTAAGGTTCTCGTGCCCACCAGCGCCGCACTCGAGTGCGTTTATTCTTGTGAAACTTTTTTGTCGTCATTTCAAAGGTCTTGCCCCTTGAACACAGTAGCTGTGTTTTGCTCTTAAATATGTGTAAACACCGTCGTTAACTCGACCCATCATACACGTGCTTGCTAGTCTCATTATGTGCGATGTTTTCATAAGATTTGAGTTTCATTGTGGATTGTTTAGCTGGGAGATCGAGTCACAAGGGAACAGGGTCTCACAATGAAGCGATGGAATTTTCCCACGGTTGCTTTCAACTATTTTACACAAAGTTTATTACACCTGTGTAATTGAAGCCTGTTCGAGGGATTAACCTTTCAATCTAAGAATTAAACCTATTTGAAATTTGGTTTTTACTTCACCTTTATTAATCCTAGTACACACATGCATGTGCCTGTTCAGATCAAAGTCATCGAGAAACGTTTGACTGTGGTGCTTTGGGCGTTTTTCGGGCTAACGATTTGGTTACAAAATGTTTATATATCTAAATTTTTATTTAATTAACAAGTATTTTAAAGCATCTCTTAGTCGGAATCATCGATCGTAGCTGTACTCCAAAAAGTGATTTATTGCTGTGGAATGTTTGAATATATTTGAAGAGAAAACTTGAAACTAACCCGGAAAAGCAGACTGTTGTTGAACTTGCGGGTGGTCCACAATATTGAGAACAGATGAAGAGGGAGCGTGGTTACGGAACATGACTACCATTCCCTCGAGAGTCCCCCCTGGAAAGATGAATTTCCAGCTCGGGGCAAGGGGGTGGATTAAGAAGATGAAAGGGAGAGGAGAGTCTTAAACTCTGCTCGAACTCTAAAACTTCAATACACGAAACACGATAATGCAATTTGTTATTTCTTTCGTTTCGTTTTAAACATCACTCCGTGTGATCTACCAAGCTACAGCGTACTTACATAAGCATTCTATCTTCGCGTGGAGCCGTGTGCATGTACTTTGCACTTATCAATATCGATAATGTTAAAACTTTGGGTGTGATAATGCTTTAATCATCTTATCTTAAGATGGCGAGTGAAGATAACAAATTCCGCAAATACATATTGACGCGTGCCGCCTGTGGCCGGCATTGACGGGCGCCGGCCATAAGAGAAGTGACTCAGCACTTTCTGGAAGCTTGTTTGCTTGTGATAAATACCGACGCAAGATTGAAATATTAATTCTCGTTAGCTAATGCATAAGTTTCTTTTAATGTCAGTTATGAGAATTGCGTATTTTATCAGTGAGAGAAGAAGAGCATTATAGAAGAAGAGATGAGCATTATAGCACCAGATCGTCACATAACACAATTAGCTACAATTATTCAGAAAGCGACAGACAATTTTACGTTTCATTTCTTCACCGAGCTAATCTGATATAACTTTTTTGTTTTAAGAAAAGTCAAAATATTAATGTAGATTAGTAGAATATGTAGAACAACAAAAAACGAGCTAAAACAGAACGGTCAGAAAGCAAAGGGAACATGTTGCGTGACGATATTTTAATTTAGGACCTATAGTTTATTATTACCTTTAATTTATTATCAGCTTTTATTTATTACCTTGCAATCATTGAAAGGAACTTAGTATAATAGACATAGAAAACACTTCAACTAATTAGAAATTGGACGGATTATGAACTGATTATGAACGGCGAACTTGAAAGACTTGGCCAATTGTTTACAAGATGTCCATCCTTGACTCTTTCATGCATCTTTATTTCAGCCTCCTGTTTTAGTTCACTGCCAAAGCTGTAGTGATAGTGAACCTTTTCTTTTCAAAGGCTATGAAGGGAAGTTCCAAAAAATTAAGTGACTTTTCAGTTCAAAATAATGGATCACCGAGTTAATTCGATTTCAGGACACCCCCTCCCACCCCTTTTTGCATCATCCTAATGGCTCGGACTTATGCCAGCTGAGTTAAATGCCGCCAGAGCCCTGGTTCTGATAATCCGCAGATGTTTGTTTGGGTTGAAGTAAGCGGGAAGGTGTATGTTGCTGTGAGATTGACTTGACGAGATGGCGATAAAAAAATAGGAGCTATGTATTGTTAATCACAACGGTTACGCGGAGAAATGCGTTTTGTATTGATTGTAGAGCCTAGAGGTCGTTAATCTCACTTGCCAGTTAAAAGCATTTTGTCAAAAAAATCGCAGACACGCCCGCGGTTGATATCGGAGTGAGCGTTTTGTAATGTAAAGTTTCAACAGAGTTAATATTTCGGACATTTTAGAGGGCATCTTAATATTCTTCACAGCTGAATGAACAAACTAGAAACGCCTATCATTCGATTATACTTGAGCATTTTCCAGCTTTTGCCGGCGAATCAGTTACTTATTCCTCGAGATGCTATCATGTTGGTCACTAACTGATTTAGTGCTTAATCAGGCGCGTTTTTCGAACCGGTGTTGTCACTGAAAAATTTAATAGTTCAGTTGACGAATGAAAAAAACATCCGGTTGTGTTCAACTGAATATCAGTCGTGGTATTGCAAAAAAACAATAAGCGTAAAGTGAGTTTTGAAAAAGATATGATCTTCGCTTTGGTTTAGTTCCCCTCGTATTGTTTTCGAATCAGCCTGTTTCTGCACTATGGTGACCCTTGCTCTTCGTAGAACGGCCTGATGCAGACCCAATGCATTGCGGTCCGCGCACGGGAAAAATTAGGAAAAGGAACCTACCTTAACAAAAATAAAATTAAAACTTGATAAAATAACAGCAATATTGGAAGCGTTGGTTATTATTACGTATTATTAGCAGCCGTTTGAAAAGGGCAGATTAGGATTTCATTTAAAATTAAAATTGCCATGTGAAAAGTAATATGTACCTGCTTTTTTTGGAGTACTAAATTACACCAGGTGTTACAGCGTTCGTTTGAATGGCCACAAAGAAACTGAGTCTCACGGTAAGTTTACCACCTTGTACAATATGATACGAAGTATCAAATAAAAATTTTAGCATAAAGATAGCTATATGTTTGAGTGCTGCTTACTAGCTTTTATATGAATGGCCACTCAATAGGAATTCACCCACACGGATGAATTTAGTTACCTAAAACCAGAGTACCCTGTTCAACATAATTACCAGTACTTCATGTAAGGATTTCATTCCACGTCCGCTATCTAATCAGTAAATGGAGCAGATTTTCGCTAATGGCGCACTGTTGTGTAAGCTTATTGGGTAACGTTGCATAACCCTTGTATATGTCTATTAGAGATAGTGGAAAAAAGATCGCCTTCTGCTGAGGGTAAATTTGAGATGACGAAAGACAAGGTGTAGTTATTAGAGGAAGCTCCCTACGATAAAGAAAATTATGTGTTTATTGGATTGTCTGAGGTTTGTCGTCATTACATGCTCAGGATAAACCTTAATCGAATAAAGATTCCTTAAATATATTTTACGGAAACCTGCATGAACTATCAATTGAACAGTAGCCGTCTCTGGATTTCGTCACGGTTCTATTGCAGGTATTGAGAAGGATTCGGAGATGGACTCGGTTCCGGTGTTTCAGTATGGGTTGATGCGACAGAAAGAAAGACCAGACCCGTAACCATGGTGGTGAACTTGCCGCCCGGTTACACAAAGGCGCCGCGGGCGAGGGAGGACGGACGGTTACTCCCTTTTATGATCTCTGCTAGGTATGCACCTCGTCATTAATTAAACCATTTTGGTTCCAAGTAGGCTATGGAGTGCATGCACTTTGGTGTAGAATTAGGTTGTTTTTTGTATGTTTGGCCTGAAATAAGGTATCCAATTTTGGGTCGGTATGAAATAGGGTAAGCAAGTCATGACATGTCTAAAATGGGTTGAAATAGGTTCAAGGTTGAAATGGATATAGGTTCAAGGTTGACCAAGCCACACTCTTCCGAATTTTCTTCTGTGCCGCCAAAAGTTGATGCTTTGTTATTAGATCTGCATTTTAATACCGAAGACACCCTATTTGAAATTTTAGAACGGGACATTTACTGTGATACGCCCAATTTCAGTCACAAATTATTCTCACCTTCATAGATTGAGACGGCGACTTGCAAGCTGTTTGCCAGATGGAAATGCTTCTTAGCGTGTTGGGTCGGAGTTACTGCAAGGGATGGACAAAANAGGGTAGGCAACAAAGATGGGCGAACCCATATTTTAACATCCCATGCGAAGGCCATAACTTTGTATTCGACATTCAAAGCGGGGGCATGGTCATCATTCCCGTTTTGTCTCACAGTGCAGCTGTCTCTTGGTAAAAGTAATTATCAATTTGTCATTTTCATTTCATTGACGGTTGAAGGAAAAGCGAAAAATGGCCACAAACGTCTTTCACACAATATTTTCCCCTGGAATGTAGAATTGCGTGCCATATCCTCGAGACCACCAAACTTAACCAGAAACAGGAAACAAGATTTGCCGGAGCCAGTACTAGACGGATAATTAAGCTTAAAATTGCTGTTAAAAAACGTCAGGAAATCAGTGATAAGATTATATCCTTTAGCACTGCAGCAGCGGTGACGACAAGAGCCAGAGTCCTGCGTGAAATAATTTATAAAGACGCTTTATATTTGACCATCTGTGTTTTACGGTTGCGGCATTGACACAAAAAATAATTTGAGAGACAAAACATTTATCTGCTAATAAGCTGACAGACTGAAGTAGGCGGAAAACGCATAATTGTATCAAGCTTTGTTTTCTTCGAGACACTACATTGTACTGTCCCAGATCAAAGTGCGACGTTATGAGGAGTTGGCTTGGAACGAATTTGGAAAAAAAAAACTGTGAGAAAGCAGCATATATATTGAAAAAAACTGAACTTTGCATCTGTATGAAATAAAGTTTTAGCGTAAATAAAGTCAATATATATGAATGGTGACTCACTACACTCTATATTTTTTCTAAGAATATGTTTTATAAAAATATCGAGGCTGAAAAATGTGAAATTTAACGAATATTTTAAGAAGACACCCCCAGGCTGAAATTTTGTAAAGAGTATATTTTTTGTGCTGAAATTTTGTATATACAACACAATTATACGTTTTTAACTAAACCATACGTATAAAATCCTTCCTTCTCTAAACAGCAAAACTAGCAAAAAGCAACAAAAACAGCACTAGCCCTATGTTCGATGCTCTGATGCCTGCAGGCTGGCTCCAAAATTACTCGTACACCATCCAGACACTAAATACCTTCGAAAACAGAAATGTCATACGCTGTAATCAGGATAAGAATATTCACGAGTGTGCGGTTCGCCCAATGGTCGGTCGCTGACCCAAGTGTAGATGCTTAATTTCGATATTCGGCCGAAGTTCGACCTCAGACAGCTATTCTCATTTGTTAAGCGTGGTTGTCACTACGACAAAAGCACAAGCACAATCACAACGGTAAGCGGAAGGACGCCCGAAACACAAGCATGAGCGCATAGGCATGCGCAGAATGGATCAGTGCCTTATCATCTGTTCCATACTTCCTCGATACGCTTGTGCTATGGGCGTCCTCACTACCGGTTATGCGAAATTATGCTTATGCTTGTGCTTATGTCGTATGTAGTGAAATCCAGGCTTTAGATAGGTACTCATTGAAAAAAAAGTACCTTTATGTAAGTGAAAGTTTGGACTCTGGCTTCCTCCAGTTAAACCCGTCCTCGACAAATGTGCCAGCTCCTTACAGACCCTCTCAGTAGTATTTAAGTTCGTTTATTGGTTGCTGAGATTTTAAACCAATTTCTAAGCTCACTTATGAATCTATGAAACAAAGCCAAGGCCCTGTTACTTTCAGTAACTGTTGTTTTCGGAAAACGCAATAACGCAGCTAGTTTCAAACTTTACATTTTCTTTCATTACCATTATTTATTAAACAAAAAAACTTTGTTCTCATTAATTTATGCCCAGAAATCCACTTGTTTTGACCAGGCATTGCTCGAATTCGCACGGCACAACGGCTGTATTTTACATCTTATCCCACTTCTGAAGACTTCCACAAAGTTGAACTCACCCATCGAAATTTTGCGATTAAATTCGCGTTTATTGTCTAAAAACATTGGGACGGACTCGGATTTACAGATGAAAACAATGTTCTAAATAGAGCGAGTCGTTTTACAGAAGTTGTTTCGTAATAAGCTATAAGAACACGAGCGGAATTTTAATAACTGTTTCCGCAGGTCTCACGCACGGCCTTTGTGCTCTAATTTCCTGTCGCAGGGAAAGCATAACTTTAACCCTTGGAATACCAGACTTTCGCCCCCAAAAAACCGTTTTAAGCGGTTAGTCAGGTTTTCTAGCTGCCATGACGCTTAATAAGCCTAAGTTTTGCTAAGAAAGCTTTTTTACTAAAAGCAGAGATTTTTCGAGGATTAGGTACAAAATTGAGCAATATTTCAATTCCGGACATGCGCATAAGCCAAATTTTAACTTTTTTTTTTTTTTGTGCCATTAACCGTTCTCAATTTTGTTTGTTGTCCCTTTCCTTTCTGTTTTTCTCGACCCTTTTACACTGGCTACCTGTTGCGTTGTATGTTCTTTCTGGCTGCAGTGAAAAGTTGNGATAACGTTGTTTTTCGATTTGCGACGTCGGAATGTCGTCGATATCTAAACCTGACCATTGTACGGATATGCCTAGCCTAGAACTACTATCTGCTTATCAAGAATATCTGATGACATTTAAATTGATGACGTCACAAGTGGTACAAAGAGCACGGCCATTAATTACGCATATATGCGTAATTGGGGCTCAAAGGGTTAATAATACAGCCGAAGGAACTTTAATTAATTCAAACTAGAGTAACTGCGGCTGAACTAATGATCAAACTTCTGTGAGTTCGACCAGAAGCTTTCGGATGTGCTGTCTATCCTTATAAAGGTAAAATTGTGTGTTCACCTTAACCTTGCCCGCTTTGACAAGTGATTTGGTACTCGCTCAGCGTAGCAAGGTGCTTTGTTTGAAATGCTAATCAGGTAGTGAGGTCAAGGAACATTTAAAATTTGGCGGGAAATTACTATTCCACGTGTTACGGGCACGCGTCATTTCATTAACACCTGATTATTAAGCTGTGTTTGTTACGCACAGTAAAGAAACCTTCGCAATATTGACCGGCTTGGTATTGAGCAATATTGTGGTTAACTACTTAACTGAGGAGGTCAAGCGTGAAACCCATCTTCACGCGCTTTAATGTATTGCTTCATTTGTTCTTTGAAGTTTAGTCGCCGCGGCACGCTTCAGTTTTGAAAGAATTAGCACTTTTTTTAAAGAATGTCCCTTTATGAAGTGTTGTGCGCTAAATTAAAGAAAATGAAGGCTTTATTAGTCATAAAATCTTCCTTGCCGATGCCCTACATAAATTACGGTAAATTTGCCTGAAAACTCTACATTTCGATATTTGAATTCTTGAGATGAGGTTTTGCATATTTCATCTATGTCATGTAATATTTAAGAGACTGTAAACCGCTGTTGAAATCTACCTGAACCATTCCGTGCCTCCCTTTGTCGGTGAAGTGTTGTGCGCTAAATTAAAGAAAATCAAAGCTTAGTTTCGAATTTTCTTTGCGTATACCGCTTATAAATTCCAGTAGATATGCTTGGATACTCTCTAAAAATGTCCCATATACGATGGGGATCCTGCGTTGTACAAAGACCGGAAACTGCTGTTGAAATATGCTAGTACCACTTCGTGTTCATTCCTTTCGCCCTATGATCATAAATTACACCACCACGTTTTCATTTAAAAAAAAATGCATTTCAACTTGTCCCAAGCACAAAAGATGAAAGATTGCGGTATTTTCGAATAAAGCATTTCGCAACTTTCTAGCTAAAGCTGTTACAAGCCACACATGTGTGTGACATTAGATAATTATTTTAATTATTACAATTACAAAGAGCCACGAAGACACGTGTCGTTTGAAAAGCAATAGTTCTTTTGGCGCGCATTTTGAGTTTCGTCGAAAAAAAAAAAAAAACTTCAAGAGCTCGTGGTTATACAGTTTTCCTTTCGCATGGATACATATTATTAGCTGCGTCGCACACGTGAATTGAACTCGATCTCTTGGAACCAATAACGAAAACACAAAAAAGTGGATGCAATTGGCTTTCAATCTCCTCGAATAGCATGACTGTGCAAGACCGCTCCTTGAATTGTCGCGGTAAATTTGGCGGGAAATTTAATATTCCATGCGGCCATCGCCCACCTATTTCGACACGTTTGCCTCCAAAAATTCAGCTGTTCACACATTGTGCTTCATTTTGATCAAAAGCTAGCTCGAATTAAACACGAAATAAGACTTCACTTCGCTTTCTCCTAACCTCGTTCTTGCATTTATAAGCATCCGACAATTTTCCATTTAACGACGATTTTGGCGGCCGTTCTTGCTGACGAGTTCAAATCAAATTGTTAAAAGTATTAATTCTTGTTAAAACATGTTATTGTTACCAACAGGTGTTAACGTGCTCTTTGCATTGAGCACGATTCACTCAGGTGTATTGTGAAACTTATTTCCTCCTTCATAAGGCCTCAAGAGTTCATATTGCACGCATTTGACAACAGGCGGTCGCGCCGGCAAGTAACTTGCGTGGAACTACGTAACTTATTCGCCGCCAGTCAGGAACTGCTGAGAGAAGTTATTAATATGAAGTTTACGGCGATCAACTTAGTTGACAAAAAGGTAACTAAAATAAGTTTTTTCGATGTGTTTCTGAGCCACTTCCTTCTAATAGGTAGTTTAAGTTAAACAGTTCGAAACTGATCATTGCCCTTCTCTAAAAGTTTTCAATATACCTTTCTGGTTGGAAACATGCGCATAACCAAAATTTCTGGCGTACACTTTCTCGCGTGTATGTGAAAAATTTCATCCCAGTAATATTCTATCATATTGACAATTAATTGTTTATGAGGGAATTTAGCGAGGTTTCTGAGCACTGCGCGCTGCGTCAAATGAAACCAAGTTTTAGTTTACTCTCCCTGCAAGCTCTTCCCCGTGAGGATTTTTTACTGGCACGTCGCCGACCTAGAAACTTTACCTCAGTGTTTGGTGCGAAAATGGATTTCGAAGCAAAGGGTGCTCTGGATTCATTTTATGACGTTAATGCGTCTTTTGACCGCATTCAATGAAATCAGTTCATTACAGATAGAAAGCTCAACGTCAACGCATTCAGTTTATGCAAGAAAATTTCTCGTAGGATTAATACATTATTCCTCCCACTCTAGCAAATCTGTGAGGCGAAAAACTTGAGTTGAGCATAGATTCTAAAATGCGTAACTATTTTTCAATTGTTGTTATTATGCTTTCTTTTTTTCAGGTAAATAAATCTCTACAAGATCGACTTCGTCGTGAAAGAATCAGTAAAAGTGTCGAAACTCTCAGAGAGCTGTTACTGGGGCCGTCTATTGAACATGTGAGCCTAAGTACAAATGCGATAAATATTCTTCAAGAATATATAAGTTTTGAATTTTCCATTGTAGAAAATCTTTTGGATCTTTTACATGGCAAACAGGTAGCTCCCCAGAAGGGTGCCTCGGTCAGGTAGACAGGGGATCCCAGGAGTCCAGGGAAGACGGGTTGCAAATCAGTCTTCAATGCGTTTTCTTAAGAAACGTATGAGGAGTTGGCTCTCCAAGTGTAGCTTGACCTGGGCACCATATGCCTCCCTTCATGTAAACAAGCCCTGCGCGTGGGAAAATGTGAGCGGCGAAGCAGTAAAAAACGTTACGGCATCAGGAGACGCACATTTCCCGCTTATATTTCCCGCTTTTATCATCGCACGAGACTTTGCACTCGCACTTATGCATTTTCCGTCAGTCGGCATTCTTGCCCAAGTTCTCCGTCACTGAAGTTAATCTCAACATGTCTTTAATGCTTTTTATATTTATCTTCAGGCGAAGATTGGAAAAGAGGAAATTCTCAAACTTACCATACAATACATCAGAAGACAAAAAGGTAAATATAGTTTTAACGATTGGTTCTTAACGGACAACTAATCAACTATTAAGTTTATCTGTAAATGATTCAGACATTCAGTTCTGACTTGTTCATTTGCGGAACTTTCAAATACCAATCACATAGCCTTTTCCTTTCTCCCTAAAAATTCTTCTGGTTTGAAATATAGTGAAATACTTGGGTCTAACAGGCATAGCCCTCGTGCACAGAGAGCATGCGCGCTTCAAGTTAATCGCCCATGAATTTTTAACCTCCAAATCTGTACTGTCATTTACATTGAATAGATCAGATCAGTGTTTCCTTTCTCGCCGCGTTCAAATGGAACCATAAGTTTAATAAGGCTAACGCTACGTAACTATAGTTAAGTTCAGTGTCGCGGAATGCTATGTCACGGTTTGCTCATATAGAGAAGTTTAGCCTACATTTTTTAAGTTCGTCGTTTGTAATCCCTGTTAATCTTCTCCATCCTTGATTATCCTTGTTCCTTTATGGTTCATTAGTAACTCGTAAGGGCTCTCTTATCGTAGCAAACTACTATTTTCAGGTCTCTTTCAATTTAAGGGAAAATAACTCAAAATACCGTGACTGAGCTCCTTTAAAGATTTTTTTATTATCACGGTTCTGATTTGTGCAGCAATTTCGAGGCAATTCAAGCAGTCTTGCCAGCTAGCTGCACGTGGTTTTTATGGCCGCGGCCCTACTTTCTGGAGATCATTGGCATATATGATCTTACATTTGACGCAATTCTCTTTCAGAACTTAAAACAGCTAATGTGGAAGAGCGTAACTCGATAGAAACGTGCAACAGAGAGGCGGATGCCAAGACAAGGGAAAACGATTTGAACAAACTGCAAGGTTTTTCGATCAAAGAACAACTTCAAGTAACAGGAGAAGAAAATGCAAAGACATTGAAATACGATGAGGACCACGTCTCTAATAAGCTATACCCAAGTCAATCAGAGAATTATCCAGCCCGTAGATTCGCCGAATTGCGAAATACGATACACAACCAAAGAAATAGCACTCTGAAGAGATCGCCTTTCCGTGAAATTAATTGTAACGACAATAAACAACCAATATGGCGGCCATGGTGAGAAGACATGAGCCTCAATTAACTTGAATATTATTGTTATAAATCGTAAATGATATATCTTGGTCCTGTCTGTTGTATTATACACTACACGAAGTTCATTATTAAAAGGAGATTTATAAATGGTTGTATCATCCAGTTTGTAATAAACTGACAGTCAAGATTCAAAGTTGAAGCTCTCGACAAGCCTAAGAAGTTGATTTTTGTCCAAACTCTCTCAGCTACTGCTCAGTAAAAAAGCAGAGAAGCTCAGTGGTAACGAGAGTGCAGTTATTGACTTCAGGCTTATCCGACTAATATCCTTGATATGAACGGCACGGAAAAAAGGTTTTTTTCCCTCCTCTCAAAAGAACTTCTGTTCAGGTGCGCGGGTTTTTCAGCAAGCCTTTTTGCTAACTTTCTGCGCCAAGTAGGAAAAATTTTGGTGTTCTACGCACAACCGAAACCAGTGATGTTTAAGTAGGAGAAAAAGACTGATTGAATGTGCATGTGGAACTGGTCGACAAAAATGGCTACTCTTTTCTCAAACACTTGCCTTTGCTGTGTTTCGCCGAATGTATTTAAGTCGTGGAATACTTTCAAGGGCGGATAGCCAGATTTAGGTGACCAAAATTTTCGCGATCGGTTAATCATTACAACTTAATTCGGCAAAAAGGATACAGTAATCATAAGAGTAATCATACCCGGATAATCACACCCAGCAGAATTAGGGATCGCACCGTTTTTGTAAGAACAGATTGTATTTTTTTTCCCTTAGCAAAAGCTATAAGCTTGCCCTCCCAATTAATTCCACGCAAATCTCTTAGTCGTTAATCTTTTCTTTATTTATAAACTGCCTGGCAGTAATTTGCATATAAATTTACAGATAATCTCATTCACTCTCTGTCATCCATAAGATGTACTCACAAAAGCTATATACAATTATTGTTTACGGCGGCAAAGCAAAGCAAATAAAAGCCACATTCAATGCGTTATTCGTGGCGGAAATCTTGCCGTGTAATTACGTTTTTGTCGCTTGTTTATTGCTTATTTTCTAGCATTTGACATTCAACTCAGCGTTCATTGTTCACCAAGGACGCCATAGAGCTGTTTTTGTTGTCGCGCTCGGAGAACTCGCTGGCGAGAAGCTTATTCTCTGTGCTTGAGTCGCAGACGGACTGACCGGGGATGGAATTCTTGACATTTCAGTTTGAACTGGGCTTGTTAAAGGGATGAAAACCGCAGATTTGCTTGTCGGTGATGGCGGCGGTGAAGGATATGGGATCCAGACGGCGTTTGGTGCGATGGCGGGAAAACTTGGAGTCATGGCGGGAATCCCTGGCGCGTGGCTCGTGGCGACACGGCTTGTGGCGTTACCGTGGCAACATGAAGCCAAGTGTGATAAGAGTTTTTCCCTGAGCTGGTCGCTTCCGTCGCTTGTCATGATATTTCTGTTGACTTCGTTTACACACTGATTGAAGCCAGCTCTGTAGTCAGCAAGCGACTTAGGATCTGAAAGTATATGAAACGTTTTGTTAGAATCTCCGCTTAGTTTTATCTAAGTTTACGTTTAATCTAAAAGCCGTTTTGACTCGATAAATTATACACTTCGAAAGTGCGAGACGTTTTGGAAGAAAAGAAACTAATATTAATGCTTGTTATATCGGACCTACAGAAGACCACATTAAAGCTAAAAGTGTCAAAATTTTCTTCCCCGGTGGTCCACTATCGAGTGGACGTGTAATACAAATACTGCTTGGTCTCGTTGCACTTTTCCGGGTTTCATAACTCTTCAAACTTCATTTAAGCCCCAATTAACATTTCGGTCTACTAAGACTTACTTATTTACGTTTTATAAAGGTATTTTACGAAGTCTTACCGTCAGTACGGCTGTCTTTTTGCTGCATTGCTTTAAGGAAGGTTACAGTCATTTCAAGAACATCAGCTTTCTCCATCTTGGAATAACGAGAAGCCTGTAAATAAAAGATAAATGATATATTCTTATGAGCATCTCTCGTAAAACCTTGCTTGGATAAATTTAAGCTCAGTGCAAAACGACAGAATTTGGATATTGTCAAAGAGTATAAATTTTTATTAAACTCTGTTGAGATTTTGCACATTAATTATTTTAACCAGACTCGGCGATCTACTTGTTTTGATTTTGAAACGCTGGTTATAAAATCATCAAACTTACATCTTTATGTAGAAGATCCAGCACCAAGCTCTTCATTTCGTTTAAGCTGTCGTTGATCCGTGCTCTGCGCATTTTTTCCATCAAGGGTTTCTTCGCCTGAAGGAAGGAATAGCAAGTTATTACATGTCGCAATAGTTTATAAAATATGCGCGATCAAGTCTTGAAAAATGACACATCAGCAAATTAAAAACTGATGAATTGGAAATTTACCTTTCTTCTCTCGGATAGAATCTTGCTAACGTAAACCGCACTGTCGACGCATTCAACGGCCATGTTTTTAAACGTTCAAGAATGTGTTTTTCTAAGGAACTTTGTCGGAGATGTTGACTCGGCGAGTATTTGTCGCAAACTGTCCGACATGCATGATGCGATCCATTTATATTCATCAATCGTGGGAAAATATCGGGGTCGTGTGCCGACACTAAATGAGTCTTATTTACAAACACCTGTCTTCTGACAATCGGCTTGGTGCCCGAACAATGCTGGCTTCATACACAAAGCCACAACCGTGGGAACAGTCGCCTCTGATTGGCTAAGCGCTTAGAGTCGCACGATAACCGTCGTTTGCATTGTTTCCCGCCTTCAGCGGCGCGTGAAGAGCGTGAGACCAGGCGAATGTGATTGGCCGAGACGCGCGTGATTCACTTCATATAATTATGGCTGTGCTACTCGTACATTCAAACTTCTAAAACAAAAGCAAAATGACAATCCGGAGCTCTTGAAATGAGGCATCGAGGCCATTTGAGCACGTGCCGTAATTGACTCGACACTCTCATGCCTTTTGTCGTACCAGCTCCTTTTTCTCCAACACAGCTTTTAGTTTTAAAGGCCTCTAATAAGTTTTATATTGACCGTTTCAGAAAGTTTAAGCCGTTCTCTTACAATCCACGTGCTGTATAAAACATAACAGGTATTATTTTCATTGTTTGTCCCATTCTTTAGCACTTTATCTTTCTTTGCACTTAAATCGCGCTTTGCAAGCACCATTTCAATAACAAAGGAACGCGAAAATTTCCCACGGTAGAACGAGTCGCCGACTAAATGTAAAATAAATGACATTCCCTTG